CAGAGGTCAGGGGTCAGAGGATTCCTTCCTCTTTTGTTATTTAATTATATTTGATGTTATTCGGATGTTACATGGGGTTCATCACCAGAGATGACCTGTTAGCATATCCATGTTAGCATGTTAGCACTCAACCAACTCTGCTTCCTTAAACATGTTTTATTTAATAAAGTACAAGCTACGGCACAGGGACACAGAGCCCTCATTTATTCATTCATCAGGAGTTACTGCAGGTCACTGCTGCAGATCACGGTAGGTCACTTAAGGTCACTGAAGGTCATTGCAGGTCACTGAAGGTCACTGTAGGTCACTGCAGGTCTCTGCAGGTCTCTGCAGGTCTCTGCAGGTCAGTATAGGTCACTGCAGGTCAGTATAGGTCACTGCAGGTCATTGCAGTTCCAGCTCTGATTTTAAATACGTCTCAGAGAAAAGATGATCGACTGCAGCACAAAGACTGAACCTCCACAGTCACCTTCAGTGGTGTGGTGCATGTAGACGTATTTATGTATGGATTACCTGTGGTGAGGATCAATAGACTCAAACAGGAAGTCACTTTCATAACCATTTTAAATACATGTTAAGATCATGTGATGCATGTTTGATGATATTATGAATATAAAAGGTGAGGACGTGCTGGAAATAATCAGGATTTGATCTGATAGGAGACACCTGTCAGGTGGAGGCGGGGCCTAAATGTTTAGATTTAGATTTTGAGCCACTTTTCCTGGAAAATTCTGGTTTTAGTTAAATGTTATATGAGATACATGTTCGTCACTGACGGCTTCTAGAAGACGTACGGCCCCACGATGACGGTGAGGCGGAGCAGAGAGCTGGAGCGATAACTGAGAGCTGAGTTCTGCGTCACCATCTCCAGGTCCAGGACGTGCTCTCTGGGACCAATCAGAGGACGAGTCATCACCAGCATGGCGTTCACATTACTGGATCGCTATGACGACAACAACCAATCAACAATCAATCATCATCTGGTGAGAAGAGATTAAAGGAGATGACAGGATGACATAAATGAAAATATGAGATGAGATGAGATGAGATTGAAGATTGAGGTTTATTATTATTATTATTATTATTATTATTATTATTATTATTATTATTATTATTATTATTATTATTAATTATTAAACCAAATAAATTCAGATTTGTTTAAATCGAATATATGAAGATGAGATAAAAAAGATGATGTGAATAAAACAAGACGACGTGTTGGTGGAGATGAGATGAAATAAAATGAGATGTGATTTCATAAACAAAGATGACATCACTGAGATGAGATACTGAATATTCATATTTGACTGAGATGAACAAAAATGAGATGAAATGGGATTAAATGAAATTGAGATTTAGATGAGATGAAAAAATAAATAAATAAATATATAAATGTAGAGTTATTGGTTCATATAGACTGAGATGAAATGAAAAAGATGAGCTGAAGTGACACAGTGAAGCATGAGACATGAGTGGACCTGATGAATGAATGAGATGAGTGTGGTGAATGAATGAGAGAACAGAAGACAGTGAGGTGAGGTAGAATCAGATGACACAGATCAGATATCAGGACATAGAAACATGACATCAGACTGATGGCGCTCACCCTGAGGAAGAACTGTCCGTCCTCGTTGCCAGCTTTGATCCTGAAGGTGTTGTGCATGTTGGGGAAGACGCTGGTGGCCTGGATCTGGAAGATGTCGGCTGGCACCGAGCGCTCCGACGTGATGCTCATGTACTTATAGACGATGGAGGGAGGGAGTCCTCTGCACGCGCTTAGAGACTGACAGCTGCAGCGCCTGACGACACAGTCAGAGACAACACATCAACACACTGTTGCTTTCACCAGGATGTTGTTGTGTGACGGTCGGTTCCTGGTCTTCTCTTTGTGGTTACTGGGGAGGTGGTGTTCCATGTGGTTGCTTGCTGTTAGTAAATGGTTGCTATGCAGCTTCCATGGTGTTCCTATTGGTTACTACAATGTTACTAAGTCGTTGCTATGGTGTTGTGACAGTTGCTGTGTCTGCCACAGGTGCTTGCTATGGCGTTTCAGGTGTTTGCTTGGGCTTTTCAGTTTGCTGCTGTAACACTGTGGTAGCTAGGTGAGCGTTATAGTGTGGTAAATATGGCGCAACTCTGATTTCATAGCTGTGGTTGTGACATCGTCTCAAACAGCTGCTGAGGATCCTGGGTAATGGAGTACCTGAGTTACTCCATATCTCAGACAGAGTGATAAACCTGAAACATTTCAACCTGACAAAGAGAACCTGTCTCACCATCTCCACTCTACTGAAACTCAACAAGTGCATCTCACTCAAACAGGTGATGACATCATCTCCAGGTGTGTGGAGGAGCACAAGTGGGTCTCACCCCTCTCCGGTCTGGACATAGGGCTCCTGGCAGGGGTTTCTGGGATAGCAGCGGTAACCTCCAAAGTAGTTCCAACACATCTGGTCCTCACGGCAGTTTGCCCCAGTTTCACACTCGTTAATGTCTGTGAACAGAACCAGAACATCCACATCAGAACCAGAACATCCACATCAGAACCACAACATCCACATCAAAACTAGAACATCCACATTAGAACAAGAACATCCACATCAGAACCACAACATCCACATCAGAACTAGAACATCCACATTAGAACCAGAACATCCACATCAGATCCACAGCATCCACATCAGAATCACAGCATCCACATTAGAACCAGAACATCCACATCAGAAACAGAACACATCAGGACCACAGCATCCACATCAGAACCAGAACATCCACATCAGAACCAACATCAAAAACAGAACACATCAGGACCACAGCATCCACATCAGAAACAGAACACATCAGAACCACAGCATCCACATTAGAACCAAAACATCGCCATTAGAACCAGAACATCCACATCAGAACCAGAACATCCTCATTACGACCACAACATCCACATCAGAACCACAACATCACATCAGAAACAGAACACATCAGAACCACAGCATCCACATTAGAACCAAAACATCGCCATTAGAACCAGAACATCCACATCAGAACCAAAACACATCAGGCCCACAGCATCCTCATCAGAACCAGCACATCCACATCAGAACCAACATCAAAAACAGACACATCAGGACCACAGCATCCACATCAGAAACAGAACACATCAGGCCCACAGCATCCACATCAGAACCAGAACATCCTCATTACGACCACAACATCCACATCAGAACCACAACATCACATCAGAAACAGAACACATCAGAACCACAGCATCCACATTAGAACCAAAACATCGACATTAGAACCAGAACATCCACATCAGAACCAGAACATCCACATTACGACCACAACATCCACATCAGAACCAGAACATCCACATTAGAACCAGAACATCCGCAGTAGAACCAGAACATCCGCAGTAGAACCACAACATCCACTTCAGAACCACAACATCCACATTACGACCACAACATCCACATTAGAACCATAACATCCACATTAGAACCATAACATCCACTTCAGAACCACAACATCCACATTACGACCACAACATCCACATTAGAACCATACCATCCACATTAGAACCATACCATCCACATTAGAACCATACCATCCACATTAGAACCATACCATCCACATTAGAACCATAACATCCACTTCAGAACCTCAACATCCACATTACGACCACAACATCCACATTAGAACCAGAACATCCACATTAGAACCACAACACCCACATTAGAACCACAACATCCACATTAAAACCACAACATCCACAGTAGAACCACAACACCCACATTAGAACCACAACATCCACATTAAAACCACAACATCCACAGTAGAACCACAACATCCACATTAAAACCACAACATCCACAGTAGAACCACAACATCCACTTCAGAGGTGCAGGCGTGTACCTTGGCACATGCGAGTTCCCTGCAGCTGGTATCCTTCAGGACAGATGCAGCTGTATGAGCCGGGCTGGTTCACACACTGCCACTGACACATGTAGGCGGACAGCAGGCACTCGTCCACGTCTGACCAACAACAGCACCAGACCAAGGTTAAAGGTCACCTTGTAATACTGACATGAATGTTTACAGGCTCAACTCATATCATAGATGTGTGTTCAGACCGTGGCAGCTGAGCTGGTCTGGAGTCAGCTCGTAGCCCTGATTACACTGACACATGAAGGATCCTGGCAGGTTGTAGCACAGATGTTGGCAGGGGCTGTTGGGAACACATTCGTTTACATCTGGAACATATATCAACACAACAGACACATGGTTACCTCAACATCAGTCCACCTTAAACATCAGTCCACCTTACCATTAGTCCGACTAAAACATTTATCCACCTTAAACATCAGTCCCCTAAAACATTAGTCCAACTTAAACATCAGTCCACCTTAAATATCAAGTGCAAGTGATTTACAGATAAAATATATTTTGGTGGAACAATTTAAAGCTATTATCAGAACATTTGGAACATTTGGAACATCTAGAACATCTGAAACATCAGAACATTTGGAACATCAGAACATCTGGAACATCAGATCATCTAGAACATTAGAACATCTGGAACCTCAGAACATTTTGAACATCAGACCATCTAGAACATCTAGAACATCTGAAACATCAGAACATTTGGAACATCAGAACATCTGGAATATCACAACATTTGGAACATCTAGAACATTCGAAACATCAGAACATTTGGAACATCAGAACATCTGGAACATCAGATCATCTAGAACATTAGAACATCTGGAACATCAGAACATTTTGAACATCAGACCATCTAGAACATCAGAACCTCTGGATAATCAGAACTTCCGGAACATGACAACATCTAGAACTGGAATGTTAGAACAATTGAGAAATCTAGAACAGCTGGAACACTAAATTCACCTCTGCAGAAGTTGAACTCGTCTGCGGTGAATCCGACTGGACACTGGACAGAGGTCAGCCTGGCCTGGTTGCCGGCCTGGTTGCCGGCCTGGTTGCCGGCCTGGTGGCCGGCCTGGCTGATGGCTAAGTTGGCGGTGCCATAACTGGGTGCAGCAGGGAGGGGGATGAAGTGTGGAGGCGGGGGGCGGGTGGTGGTGGTGGGGGCAGGTTCTTCCTCTCCGTTGCTGATGATGATCTGAGCGTTCTGCGGCAGACAGAAATAACCTCCGTAGTGGTTGATGCAGCCCATCCCCCCTTTACAGGCGTCAGGCAGCGTGTCACACTCATTGACGTCTGGGAAATGTAGCCCAACAACATTTAACTCAGACTGTTTCCTGTCATAACTTCACATTTCAAAATAAAATGTTTTTCACATGATGTTGATCATAATAAGGAAGTGTACCTCGAACTGATAATTGGTAACTGATGAATTAATCACTGATCAGCTTCCTCTCTCTAAAGCTTTCTGTACTTTTGATTATTTGTTATTGATCTAAAATCATTGATCAGTTTGGTTAAATCTCTTCACCTTTACATTCTTGATCTTCCACGTTGAACTCGTAGCCCTCCGTGCACTGTCAGAGAATGTCAGCAGGTTATTGATCCATCAGATATTGATCAGGTGAATTACATGCTTCCTCTGTGAATACTGCAAACATCCCAACATTCATGAACTACTCCCTAACAACCACCCTGAGTTACCATAGCTACCCCGTCATCCACCCTAGCAACACATCAGGATTGATCCAGATTGTTCCCACTCTCTGTCCTCAATCACAGAGTATGTTATTGATTTGTTACTGACAGAAGACAGAACGGGGTATGTGGGATGGTGGGTGTCTTACTGAGTAGGTGACGGGTTCATCCACCTGCTGAGCAGAAACCATGAAGATCAAAACACTCAGCTGGAGGAAAATCTGCAGCGTCTCCATCCTGAAGACACAAAGAGCAGATTAATCAGTCAATCATTTGATTGATCGGTGAATTGTTTGAGTCCATAAAACATCAGAGTCCAGTGTGATGACGTCACAGGAACCGGATACAACGAATTTTTTTTTTTTTTTTTAAAACGACTGAATCATTCAGACTCCATTAACTGACTAAGCTCTGAAGTGACGTCATTCATCCACAGACTCGTTTAAACTACAAGTCCCTGTCATCTCCTCCGGTCCCAGCCCAGTCCAGTTTCATGTGTGGTCACTGATCCACCGTTAGAACAGGCCTGTGGAGTTAAACCGGACTAAGTGCAGTCCACCACAGACCCCGGTCCTCCTGCAGGCTGATCTACAGAATCATTAAGGTATCACTCAGGGTCCTGGTTCAGGAGATCACCGTGTGACGTCAAAGTGAAGCGATCTTACCTGGACTCTGATCGGTCTCTAATGTGTAGGTGCGTTTGATCCGAAGGAGCAGGAGGCAGGCAGGCGGGCGGTGTTTCTGTTTCGGCCGTTCAGGAGGCTATGAGCTCCGGCGGCCCGCCTGCAGCTCCACCGCTGCCGAGACTGAAGCGGAGCGACGCGGAGCGGTGCCGCCCCCTGCCGCTCACTGCCGCACACCGCAGCCTGCAGGGGAAGAGTTACTGCGAGACACTGTCAGAGTCCGAGTCCGAGTCCAGAGTCCAGAACCCTGAACCTGCAGGATCAGATAAAATCAACAGAGTTCTGAGACAGAGGACAGGTCCTCCTCCTCCTCCTCCACCTCCTCCACCTCCCTCTCCTCCTCTTCCCTTCCTCCTCAGATGAACATCAGCTGACGCACTCAGTGATTTGTGGGGTCAGAGGTCAACCTGCAGGTCAGACAGCAGAGGATTAGTCTGAGGCTAAATCACACACACACACACACACACACACACACACACACACACGATCAGCTGATTGGCTAATGTACAGTGGTTACCTGAGTGACCGGAGCCTTTCTGTCCGTTCTCCTCTGACCTCTGTCATCAACACACCGCTGCTGCTCATTGGATGCTCAATGTTGCTGTTGTTGTTGTTGTTGTTGTTGTGCACACGTTTCCTCCTCACCTGGACAAGCAGGTGAACAGGTGTTCCTAATAAAGTGCTCACTACAGGTCAAAACAAACAGTTTACTTGCTGACAGTGGTTATTACATCATCAGTCTGTTTACACTGTATGATCTGTGATCTCTGACCCCTCCCTGTGGTGTCCTGGTTTGGTGCCATTGCCCCTGCTGGTGAGCCGGGAGCTGAACCAGGATCAGGATCAGGTCTCTATATATACCTCAGATTAAGAGCGGAGCCACTTCCTGTTGTTCAGAGTAGCAGCTCATCACAGACCTCAGACCTCAGACCGGACATGTCGTTCAGCAGCAGCTCGGCAGCAGGCGGCCCCCCCTGGAGGAACAACAGCTTCATCCTGGGGGGGGGCAGAGACCCTCCTCTGTCCGACCAGGGAGAGACCATCATCGGAGTCTACCTGCTTCTGCTGGGTGGGTACACACCAATAAGAATCAGCTTAACTGTAGAGACTGGAGTCCAGGTCCAGAACTGAGGAAGAGCTGCTCCTCATCCTCCTTCAACCTGAACGACTAAAGTCCTGTTCAGAAACCAGACCTGAGTCAGAACCTGAAGGATCTGCTGCTGGTTTTTCTCCTACTGGTTTTTCTTCCACAGGATCTGAGACTCTACTGTCTCAGCTTCAGCTCACTCCTCCACTGTCGACCCAGAAAGGACCAGAGTCTGACACAGATGAGGGATCTAAATATCCAGAGGCGGAGGAGGCATGGTCTGGTTGGGGGGGTAGAGTTAGTGTGTGAGGACTGTGGACTTGTCCCTGACTGGGTCTCCTCTCTGTACTGGTCTCAGGTTGGTTGTCTTGGTTTGGAAACAGCATCGTCCTCTTCGTCCTGTACAGACAGAGATCCACGCTGCAGCCTAGCGACTACCTCACCTTTAATCTGGCCATCTCTGACGCCAGTATCTCAGTGTTCGGATACTCCAGAGGCATCATCGAAATCTTCAACGTGTTCCAGGACAGCGACTACCTGATCTCCACCGTCTGGACCTGCCAGGTACCAAACACCTGAGATACACCTGATACTGAGTTTTGCACAAGGTTTAATCTTTTGTTTAGAAAGGACACTCATTATGCTGTTATGATGGCCTCACCTGTAACATGAGCACACTTGTGACCTAAACACACCTGTAACCTGTCCTGTTTGTCTCTCCAGGTAGACGGTTTCTTCACGCTGGTGTTCGGTCTGAGCAGTATCAACACACTGACAGTGATCAGCATCACCCGCTACATCAAAGGATGTCACCCCAGCAGAGGTATCCACGGAGACCAGACAGGTGGAGACAGGTGGAGACAGGAGGAGAAAGGAGGAGACAGGGGGAGACAAGTGGAGACAGGTGGAGACAGGTGGAGACAGGGGGAGACAAGTGGAGATGGGAGGAGACAGGGGGAGACAGGTGGAGATGGGAGGAGACAGGTGGAGACAGGGGGAGACAAGTGGAGATGGGAGGAGACAGGGGGAGACAGGTGGAGACATCTCCATCTGAATGTGTCAGGGCTCTATTACAGTATATTCATATTAACAGTCTATTCATGGGGGGTTAAAGTTTGTTTGTTTGTATTTGTTTGTTTGTTTGTTTGTTTGTGTGCAAAAAAAATTAAAGGTACAAATGGGCGTGGCCTATATCAGGAGATTCAGCTGCTTTCAGTGAACACGTCCATTTAAGGTTTTTGAATTTGTGATGTACAACGTGGGAGTTAGAGGCCAAAACGCTTCTTCCTTGATTAAAGCGCCACCTGTTGGTGGACAGGTGTCATGTTGGTGTTCTTGGAACCTCATCAAGGAGAACTTAGAGCAAGAGGGGAACTCGTCTTCATGTCGACTGTTTATGACAAATGACGCATCTCTTCCTTTTTCCTTTATGTTCCTGTCGTCACATTGACTCAGACGAGTGGGTGTGGCATCTGTGACGTTCTTATTACATCAGAGTGTGGGTGTGGCCTCTGTGACGTTCTCATTACATCAGAGTGTGGGTGTGGCCTCTGTGACGTTCTCATTACATCAGAGTGTGGGTGTGGCCTCTGTGACGTTCTTATTACATCAGAGTGTGGGTGTGGCCTCTGTGACGTTCTTATTACATCAGAGTGTGGGTGTGGCCTCTGTGACGTTCTCATTACATCAGAGTGTGGGTGTGGCCTCTGTGACGTTCTCATTACATCAGAGTGTGGGTGTGGCCTCTGTGTGTTGTGTTTCAGCCCGTCACATCAACAGGACCAGCGTGTCCGTGTGTCTGCTGCTGATCTGGGTCACAGCTGGATTCTGGTCTGGAGCTCCACTGCTCGGCTGGGGGAGCTACACAGGCAGGAAACCGCCACCACAATAATCTCCTGTTTCAAAGTAAAAGCTTTCTGATCTGACCCCTGAACCCTGACCCCTGACCTCTGACCTCTGACCCCTCTGCAGACCGTGGGTACGGAACCTGTGAAGTCGACTGGGCCAAGGCGAGCTACTCAAGCGTCTACAGGTCCTACATCGTGTCCCTGCTGGTCTCCTGCTTCCTCGTCCCAGTGCTCATCATGCTCTTCTGCTACGTGTCCATCATCAACACGGTGAAGAGAGGCAACGCCCTGTCAGCAGAGGGAGACCTGACCGACCGCCAGAGGAAGATCGAGAGAGACGTCACCATAGTGAGTCTGTTCTACCCACAATTCCTCTTTCAGACTGAGATGTGTATAACCAGACTCCTCCTGCTGTCCCCCAGGTTTCCATAGTGATCTGTACAGCCTTCATCCTGGCCTGGTCTCCTTACGCCGTGGTGTCCATGTGGTCTGCGTGGGGCTTCCACGTGCCGAACCTCACCAGCATCTTCACCCGCCTCTTCGCCAAGTCAGCGAGTTTCTACAACCCCCTCATCTACTTTGGACTCAGCTCCAAGTTCCGTAAAGATGTCGCCATCCTGCTGCCCTGCGCTCGCGACGCCAAAGACACGGTAAAGCTAAAGCGCTTCAAGCCGAAGGCCGACGCCCACGGCCGCCCTGCCATAGGAGGAGGAGCCAGACTCAAAGTCCCTCTGAACCAGAATGAGAAGAAGTACTCACCCAAACCGGTCCCAAGCCCAGACTCTGGGATGGGAAGTCCGCCCTGCACACCGCCACCCATCAACAAGGAGGTGTTCTATATTGACATGCCCCGCCCCTCCGAGACTGGCTCTGAGTTTGAATGTGACAGACTCTGATGGTCCTCCTGGATCTGGACCTGGACCTGAACCAGCTGCTGGTCTCTAATGGGGCCCACCAGGTTCAACTGTGAACACATGAACTGTGACGGAGTGACTGACGGACACCAGCAGAGTGCTGATGTCACCGGGTCAGAACGCTCAAAGCAGAGAAGAAGAAGACGACGCGTAGGACAAGGTTCTGCTCAGGGTTCCTGCAGGTTCTCCACATTCCATTTAAAGTTCCTGTGAAGCAGAAATAAAATTATTTATTTCATTTAAAAAATCACCAAGTTTATAAAATAAAAAAATAAACAGAATGAAATAAAACTATAAATAAACCAACAGGTCAGGTGTGACATCACAACCTGCCAAAGAGGTGGGAGGGGTCATAACGTTACATGCCAGAGGAAGACAGGTATTTGGTGGGTGGTAGGTGATGTTAATTTTAGCCCCACCCACAAAGGCGACATGTCCCATTACACACAAACACAACATCACAACTTACACTGACTGGTGGACACACACCGCCAGCGGAGGGAGGATGAAGGAGGGGAGGGAGCGCTCAGTGGTGACCATCAGCTCTTCTCCTTCTCACCATTCTCAGACATTTGAATGAACACAGGTGTGTTCAGGTAGCAGGTTGTAGGTCAGGACAGAATCTGAAGCACCGAAGCTGATGAGCTGTAGTTCAGCTCCATAGTTTAAAGGTGTGACTCCACAGGTCAGAGGTCACGCAGTCTCTTTATGGTTTCATTCTAATGTTTAGAGACAAACTTCTGATGTGACATATTACAGGATGTAATTCACCTGTTTGACACTGACAGCTGCTGTCTGTTCCACTGTCACTTGTTCTACAGATAATTATCATTTACTTTAATCCATATGAGTGAAAAATCAATGAATGGACCAACCCATTAAAAATTATGACTTTTTAACTTCATGCTTTCAAATTGTAGAATGTTGTATAAGTCACCTGGGGATGAGGTATATTCATGTGTTTCACGTGGTCACATGTTCATATGGTCATGTGACCATACCACAGTTTTCAACAACAATCAATAATCAGATAAACAACAACATGATTAATCATGTAGAAACTGAGAAAATGGTTTTCGCCAAATTTATTGGAAAAACTTAAAATATGAAACATATAAAATCTTAGAAATGTTTTTCAAAATGAAAATATAAAGTCATGGTGATGTGATGACATCACAGACTGTGAATAGAGATGGACGTCACCCACAGGTTTCTGAAGCTCAGAGTGAGCTGCCCCACCGTCGCCATCTTGGCAGTGCCTGACTCCACCCCCTAACTCCCAGCTAATCGAAAAATGGTCAAAGAGGAGGGGTGTGGGTGGAGCTGAGACTTCGGTGCATAGGCTCACCCACCTATCACTCAAAGAGGCCACGCCCTCAATGCTCCATAACTTTAGTCCTTAATAAAATGTAAACAGGAGAGATTTATAAACAGGTGTCATGAAGGAGGAAATTAGCTCTAGAGACCAAAACAGTTTCTGTACCAGGCTGTAAACATGTTTATTTCTGCTGTAAAGTTGGACATTTTAACATGGGAGTCTATGGGGACTGACTCACTGTTGGAGCCAGACTCTAGTGGTCGTTAGAGGAACTGCAGCTTCAGTCACAGTGAACACAGAGACACTGAGGAGTCACTTTCAAACCCAAAGCCAGGAAACAGTGGCTCAGTGAAGGAGGTGTTGAAGGTGTGGAGATGGATCAGAGAGTCAGAGGACACACTGTAGAAGGAAAGAGTCCCAGCAGGACAGTCCACATACACTGCTACTCTGTGAGGGGAGGAGGGAGAGGAGGGAGAGGGGACAGGCAGAGGGATGGACGTCTCCCTCTTGTTGTGGTAGACACAGTGAACTGTGTCAGAACAGTACAGACACCAAGACTGACTGTTGGCTCCGAAACAGCAGTCATTACTGAAGCCCCGCCTCTTGATGCCTCTGTATGTCACTGCGATGAAAACCACTCCCCTCCACTCCAACTCCCAATAACAGCGACCAGTCAGATCAGTTCTACACAGCAGCTGATGACAGTCAAACCGGTCCGGGTGATCGGGGTACGGCTGCTTCTCACTCACCACAGTCATTGACCTGTTGTTGTCAGACAGTCGGAGGTACTTGTTCACTGTGTTCATGTCCACTCTGAGTTCACAGGAGTCTGAAGAGACAACAACACACAGCTGATCAGTGACAACACAGACATCATGTCCCTTTGGACAGGAGACTCTTCTGTGATTTATCTCTACAACAGGACGACTGTTTTTATGTCAAGTCCTCCACTCTAGTTCCAGACTAGTTCCAGGTTACATGCTGTTTATCCAGGGTCACATAAAATATTAACCATTTGAGTAAGTTTTGTCATAAGTGTTTTGTCAAGTCACATTGACCTTTGACTGTTGACCACCAAAATCTAATCACTTCTCGAGTGTAAATGAACGTTTTTACCAAAGTTCCCTGAAGGTATTACAGAGATATCGTGTTCACAAGGCCAAAACCACATTTTGTGAGGTCACAGTGACCTTGACCTCTTACCTCTGACTACCAAAACCTAATCAGTTCATCCTTGAGTCCAGGTGATTGTTTGTGCCAAATTTGAACAAGTTCCATCAAGGTGTTACTGAGATATCGTGTCCATGAGAATGGTACAGATGGACTGACAACCTGAAAACAAAATGGCTACAGGTAGGCCAACAGCCAATCAGAAGAGAGGAGGCTCTGAGCCTCTCTTCTGATTGGCTGACTGTTTTCTGACTGATCAAATAAAAATAAAGCAGATTTCAGGTAAAAACACTCAGAGAAACCAAATCCTGCAAGGTTTGGATGGTGGGTCCAGGTGGGCGGGGCTTGGTGACTGCTTTGTTGTGACATCACAAAGTTCCAGAAGTCCTGACGGCTGGTTTTAAGGCTCAGTTTCTGAATACAGGCTGTGTGCATTTCTCTGTGGACTGAGGCTTTGATACTTTCACAGTATTAATATAGAAGCTAGAGCTGATCTATAATCACACTACACATGGACACAGACCTTTACACTGGAGGAGCTTTAATGATGTCAACGTGTTGTTATTGTTGTTGTTGTTGTTGTCTGTTTGATGTTTGACTCTCTGCCGAGGCTTCATGATGAACTGAGTTACTTAATTTACCTTGAGGACAGTCACCTGAGGTCATGTGACCTTACCTACATCACACCGTAACACAACAGTGAACACTTACACTTCCTCAGACCAGGTTTCAGACACTTCTCTCCGCCATGTTCCAGCCTGGAGGAAGAAACAACAACATCATCATCATCATCATCATCATCATCATCATCATCATCATCGTCATCGTCATCATCATCATCATCAACATCATCATCATCATCATCTTCCTCTGAAACCAAAGAACAAAGCCTGGGAGAACTTTATAATGTACCAACCGACATTATCAGTAGTAGTCCCTTTCCTTTTATCAGGATCCAACCTTCTACATCCAGGTTTAAGATCAGGTTCAGGTCTTTATGACCCATCTGAAGCTTTTACCTTTAATCTTTCAAGTACATGGAGACAAACTGAGAACCAACAGTGTCAGTGTGTTGTTGTCTGTACCTGAGGACTTCCAGTCTCCAGTCAGGATCTGCCAATCCAGCAGACAGCAGCTTCACCCCTGAGTCTCTTGGATGGTTGTAGCTCAGGTCCAGCTCTCTCAGGTGGGAGGGGTTAGAGCTCAGAGCTGAGGCCAGATAAGCACAGCCTTCCTCTGTGATCAGACATCCTGACATCCTGCAGACAACACAAATTCATTCATTAACTCATTTATATATATATATATATATATATTTATATATATATATAATTTTCAACCCTGTGCAGACATTCACTCAGCACAATCAAGTGGGCTAACACCATTAAATTCTCCTTGTTTCAAAGGTAAAGCTTTTTCCTGAATCTAGGACCCTGAACCTCCCTGACCATCTGGACCTCTGACCTTCTGCATACCGTAGGGTAACGGAACCTGTGAAGGTCGAACGGGCGCAAGAGGAGCTAACATCACAAGGCGTCTACAGGTCCTACATCGTGTCCCTGCTGTGCTCCGCTGCTTCCTCGTCCCAGTTGCTCATCATGCTCTTCTGCTACGTGTCAATCATAAAACGGTGAAGAGAGGGCACGCCCTGTCAGCAGTAGGGCAGACCTTGACCTGATCCGCCAGAGGAAGATCGAGAGAGACGTCACCATAGTGAGTCTGTTCTACCCACAATTCTCTTTCAGACTGAGATGTGTATAACCAGACTCCTCCTGCTGTCCCCCAGGTTTCCATAGTGATCTGTACAGCCTTCATCATGTGGTCTCCTTACGCCGTAGGTGTCCATGTGAGTCTGCGTGGGGCTTCCACGTGCCAACCTCACAGCATCTTCACACCGCCTCTCTTCGCCAAGTCAGCGAGTTTTCTACAACCCCCTCTAATCTACTTGGACTCAGCTCAAAGTTCCGTAAAGATGTCGCCATCCTGCTGCCCTGCGCTCGCGACGCGAGTCACCAAAGACACGGTAAAGCTAAAGCGCTTTTCAAGCGAAGCCGAGACACGACGGGCCGACACGGCCGCCTGCCATAGGAGGAGGAGCCAGACCTCAAAGTCCCTCCTGAACCAGAATGAGAAGAAGTACTCACCCAAACCGGTCCCAAGCCCAGACTTCTGTGGATTGGGAAGTCCGCCCTGCACACCGCCACCCATCAACAAGGAGGTGTTCTATATTGACATGCCCCGCCCCTCCGAGACTGGCTCTGAGTTTGAATTGTGACAGACTCTGATGGTCCTCCATGCTGGATTGACCTGGAACCTGAACCAGCTGCTGGTCTCTAATGGGGCCCACCAAGGTTCAACTGTGAACACATGAAACTGTGACGGAGTGACTGGACGGACACCAGCAGAGTGCTGATGTCACCGGGTCAGAACGCTCAAAGCAGAGAAGAAGAAACAACGCGTAGGACAAGGTTTCTGCTCAGGGTTCCTGCAGGTTCTCCACATTCCATTTAAGTTACCTGTAAAGCAGAATAAAATTATTTATTTCATTTAAAAAATCACCAAGTTTATAATAAAAAAAATATAACAGAATGAATAAAACTATAATAAAACCAACAGGTCAGGTGTGACATCACAACCTGCCAAAGAGGTGGGAGGGGTCACATAACGTTACATGCCAGAGGAAGACAGGTATTTTGAGTGGGTGTAGGTGATGTTAATTATTAGCCCCACCCACAAAGGCGAAATGTCCCATTACACACAAACACAACATCACAAACTTACACTGACTGGTGGACACACACCGCCAGCGGAGGAGATGAAGGAGGGGAGGAGAGCTCTCAGTGGTGACCATCAGCTCTTCTCCTTCTCACCATTCTCAGACATTTGAATGAACCACAGGTGTGTTCAGGTAGCAGGTTGTAGGCTCAGGACAGAATCTGAAGCACCGAAAGCTGATGAGCTGTAGTTCAGCTCCATAGTTTAAAGGTGTGACTCCACAGGTCAGAGGTCACGCAGTCTCTTTATGGTTTCATTTCTAATGTTTAGAGACAAAGCTTCTGAGTGTGACATATATATACAGGATGTAATTCACCTGTTTGACACTGACAGCTGCTGTCTGTTCCACTGTCACTTGTTCTAAACAGATAATTATCATTCTACTTTAATCCATATGAGTGAAAAATCAATGAATGGACCTAACCATTAAAAATTATGACTTTTTAACTTCATGCTTCAAATTGTAAATGTTGAACTAGTCACCTGGGGATGAGTATATGATGGATTCATGATGTTTCAACGTGTCACATGTTCATATGGTCCATGTGACATACCACATGTTATATTCAACAACAAATCAATAATCAGATAAACAACAACATGATTAATCATGTAGAAAACTGAGAAAATGGTTTTCGCCAAATTTATTGGAAAAAACTTAAAATATGAAACATATATAAATCTTAGAAATGTTTTTCAAATGAAAATATAAAGTCATGGTGATGTGATGAACATCACAGACTGGAATTAGAGATGGACGATCACCTCACAGTTTCTGTGAAGCTCAGAGTGAGCTGCCCACCAGTCGCCATCTTGCAGTCCTGACTCCCACCCCCTTAACTCCCAGCTAATCGAAAAATGGTCAAAAGGAGGGGTGTGGGTGGAGCTGAGACTTCGGTGCATAGGCATCACCCACCTATCACTCAAAGAGGCCACGCCCTCAATGCTCCATAACTTTAGTCCTTAATAAAATGTAAACAGGTGAGTTTTTATAACAGGGTCATGAAAGGAGTGAAATTAGCTCTAGAGACCCAAAACAGTTTCTGTACCAGGCTGTAAACATGTTATGTTCTGCTGTAAAGTTGGACATTTTAACATGGGAGTCTATGGGGACTGACTCACTGTTGGAGCCAGACTCTAGTGGTCGTTAGGAGGAACTGCAGCTTCAGTCACAGTGACACAGAGACACTGAGGAGTCACTTTCAAACCCAAAGCCAGGAAACAGTGGCTCAGTGAAGGAGGTGTTGAAGGTGTGGAGATGTCAGAGAGTCAGAGGACACACTGTAGAAGGAAAGAGTCCCAGCAGGACAGTCCAACATACACTGCTACTCTGTGAGGGAGGAGGGAGAGATAGAGAGAGGGACAGGCAGAGGGATGGACGTCTCCTCTTGTTGTGGTTAGACACAGTGAACTGTGTCAGAACAGTACAGACACCAAAGACTGACTGTTGGCTCCGAAACAAGCAGTCATTACTGAAGCCCCGCCTCTTGATGCTCTGTATGTCACTGCGATGAAAACCACTCCCTCCACTCCAACTCCCAATAACAGCGACCAGTCAGATCAGTTCTACACAGCAGCTGATGACAGTCAAACCGGTCCGGTGATCGGGGTACGGCTGCTTCTCACTCAACCACAGTCATGACCTGTTGTTGTCAAGACAGTCGGAGTACTTGTTCACTGTGTTCATGTCCACTCTGAGTTCACAGGAGTCTGAAGAGACAACAACACACAGCTGATCAGTGACAACACAGACATCATGTCCCTTTGGACAGGAGACTCTTCTGTGATTTATCTCTACAACAGAACGACTGTTTTTATGTCAAGTCCTCCACTCTAGTTCCAGACTAGTTCCAGTTACATGCTGTTTATCCAGGGTCACATAAAATATTAACCATTTGAGTAAGTTTTTGTCATAAGTGTTTTGTTCAAGTCACATTGACCTTTGACTGTTGACCACAAAAATCTAATCACTTCTCGATGTGAGTAAATGAACGTTTTTACCAAAGTTCCTGAAGGTATTACAGAGATATCGTGTTCACAAAGGCCAAAACCACATTTTGTGAGGTCACAGTGACCTTGACTCTTACCTCTGACTACCAAAACTAATCAGTTCATCCTTGAGTCCAGGTGATTGTTTGTGCCAAATTTGAACAAGTTCCATCAAGGTGTTACTGAGATATCGTGTCCATGAGAATGGTACAGATGGACTGACAACCTGAAAACAAATGGCTACAGGTAGGCCAACAGCCAATCAGAAGAGAGGAGGCTCTGAGCCTCTCTTCTGATTGGCTGACTGTTTCTATGACTGATCAATAAAAAAAAAAAGCAGATTTCAGGTAAAAACACTCAGAGAGAAACCAAATCCTGCAAGGTTTGGATGGTGGGTCCAGGTTGGGCGGGGCTTGGTGACTGCTTTGTTGTGACATCACAAAGTTCAGAAGTCCTGACGGCTGTTTTAAGGCTCAGTTTCTGAATACAGGCTGTGTGCATTTCTCTGTGGACTGAGGCTTTGATACTTTCACAGTATTAATATAGAAGCTAGAGCTGATCTATAATCACACTACACATGGACACAGACCTTTACACTGGAGGAGACTTTAATGATGTCAACGTGTTGTTATTGTTGTTGTTGTTGTTGTCTGTTTTGATGTTTGACTCTCTGCCGAGGCTTCATGATGAACTGAGTTACTTAATTTACCTGAGGACAGTCACCTGAGGTCATGTGACCTTACCTACATCACACCGTAACACAACAGTGAACACTTACACTTCCTCAGACCAGGTTTCAGACACTTCTCTCCGCCATGTTCCAGCCTGGAGGAAGAAACCACATCATCATCATCATCATCATCATCATCATCATCATCATCGTCATCGTCATCATCATCATCATCAACATCATCATCATCATCTCACTTCCTCTGAAACCAAAGAACAAAGCCTGGGAGAACTTTATAATGTACCAACCGACATTATCAGTAGTAGTCCCTTTCCTTTTATCAGGATCCAACCTTCTACATCCAGGTTTAAGATCAGGTTCAGGTCTTTATGACCCATCTGAAGCTTTTACCTTTAATCTTTCAAGTACATGGAGACAAACTGAGAACCAACAGTGTCAGTGTGTTGTTGTCTGTACCTGAGGACTTCCAGTCTCCAGTCAGGATCTGCCAATCCAGCAGACAGCAAGCTTCACCCCTGAGTCTCTTGGATGGTTGTAGCTCAGGTCCAGCCT